TACTCGATATTCGGTCATCACATTGCGCCGTGTGGGAGCATGGCATACCGACTAACTGACTGATAAGTAAGTAGGTARGTATGTAGGCTGTTAAATTTATATAAACGTACAACGTACCTAAGGATAAGGTATCTGTTTCTTTTAAGTAAGGTTTAGGTCCAATGGACTAATGAGTTCCATCGATARCTATACATCCTATACATTAAAACCTCTCAATAACGGACCCTCTTTGTGACGGAAAAGTCAATAGTCTTGAGGCAAGTTATACCTATATGTAATTTCTTCCTCTCTATAACGGAAAAACGTTTGGTACCAAGCGATTCCGTTATAGATAGGTTTTAATGTACTTAAATATGCACATGTACGATATAACGTATCGCACGTTGAATATTTCGATATTAGTAGTACAATTAATAAAATTACGTGATTAAATTAAATCGTATATAGGTACATTGTATCTAAGCATTTGCAGGTAATTATGTTAAATCGATAGGTATTTTGTATGAATCTAATTGGTTTATATAACAATACAATTTATATAATCGTATCAATTATTATAATAACATTGATTAATAGTAAATATAATAACTATGAACTCTAGAAGTTACTATTTTTGGTTCTTCGTGATCGTTTATAATTTTTATCCCCAAATAATAATAACTACAGAGGGAACATTTGTTTTCAGTTATGATGGAAAAGTGCAGAGTGGAGGTAGTACCTATATTTTCATAAAAGCTTATTATAATATTACGACAAGACTTATTATTTTTACTCGGATGTGTTAGTATCGGAAATTATTTTATTTAACGAAGAATGTTTTGTGAAACGCTCATATTGTACCAAATCTGATCCAATAAAAAATGGTAAATTTTTATAAAATATACAGTGATTAATCAATAACTTCAAATATAATAAACCTACAGCTAAGTAATCATCTAACATATCATACTACAATAAACACTTAAGTGGTATAATAGTACAACGAACGTGGTCGATACGATCACAAAGTCGACACTCGGCCATTTTTGCGGGTTTTTCCTAGCAGACGTCTTCCACCGATCGATGTATACATTTAAATTTTTTCCGCGACCATAAGTTTCCGGAAACCGATACTGCCACGGTATTCACGGGCTTACCACTAACCGGGAGAGGTCGTGGTCCGCCGAGGGGAGCGGAGCAACCGCGACGGCTTGAATCGATCCGTTTGTTCCCCGTCATCCGATACCCGAGTAGGTAATAATAAATAACAATAACATAATATTGTTAGATTCTGTGATAATATGGTCACATGTGACTTATTTACTATTAATATTCGGACGTGATGCACTCTTTCTCTGAGGGTTATAGTTATAATATTATTAACATGACTCTCTTCCGGTACCTATTAATATTATTATTGATACCTACGACCGTAATTATTATATTTTATTCTGTGGTCTATGGCGGTTTTAATATATCGTGTAATATGCGTCTCTATTTAACATATGTCTATTTAAATAAATAATATATATATATATATCACAAATGACACTGGTATTTAATTAATTAATCAATATATATTGTGGTAATGTTTAAATATGTATAATATTACCTACAATGCTATAGGATTGCGACTTTCATAAAATTTCATGTTCAGCAGATTTACCGTTTGGTAATTTGSAGGTAATGGTTATACCTATCATGTTTAGAGTTCTAGATAATGTCCTATAATACCATTATGTTTTGGTACTATTAATGTTCTACTAGCCATAACTAGGTATATTATTATTCTGATTTAATTAATATAATGGAAAGAGTTGTTCAATTTTTTATGGTCGTTTCAAAGTTTATCTCTCACACAGATAACTTTTTATGTGCATAAAGTATACACCTACATTATAATATAAATACAAGGAGGTTCTATAATTTTCAATAATATCTTATCCTGCACGATTGAGCTTACAGTTTTCTAAGATAAATACAATTGCTATATATATTATTAAACTTTATAAACTTACTATAATTTATATTTATGATTATAAGACGTATCTGGTATAGTCGATAGGTATATAAAGATTTATTTATAACTTTTCTTGTTATAATTTGGTTTAATTTTTACTTAGGGTTTTATTTTATTTTATTTAAATAATTTTTGCTGTAAAAAAAAATCCAATATTTTTCCATCCAAATTTACTAGAGTTACTGTGAGATAAAGTATTTAAAATTCAATATGCATGTCAGTAACACACTAATAAAATAATTGAAAATATTGTTGACATTACAATATTTTAATATTGATTATTAGTACCTAGGAAGTAAATAATTTATTCGCTTATATAAAATATATTTCAAATTACAATCTGTACATTTTTAGCAATTATTACTGCTGAAAAAAGTATAATTGATATAAAGGATTTAATGTTTTTATTTTTATAACTTATAAAAACAGTGTGACATTTACAATACTTTTTTTATTATAGGTATTACCTGTATTACCAATTTCGCAGGGGTTAAAATCAATCTATTTTTCTACCGTTCATCGGTCTGATTCAGACGAAATGTATAATATGTAACTACAAACATAATCATTAAAATAATTATTGATTTGTGATTTTTCACATCTTTATTCTAAATCATACACTTTTTTATGCTAACACTGAAAATTGGAGACAGATAAAAAGCTGATGTAAATTCAATATCTTTGATATTGATATTCGTGTGTATTGACTGTTCTAAGTATTTAGTATTATATTATATTACATTAGTATACAGTCGTAATACATTTTGATTGAATAATTTTATTTCCATATTATATTAATCTTATTTATAACACGTATAAAAAAAAAAATACATAAAAATATTCAAAAAATAACCAATAATAAATAATTATAAATGATTTTATGCATTTTATAATGAATTGTAAAAATGTATTATTTATTGAAATTTAAATGGCTCTCATTCAGTAAATTTTGGTTTTAGAGCCATGGTTAATGGGTCAAAATGACTTAAGAAAATGTAGTCTATCCGAATTTGGTATCAAATATTGCATTGTGTATGCGCGTAGAGAGAGGGATAAAAATTAGAAATTTATCTAAAAATGTGTATTTATGTACCACTAGCTTGAAAAAAATTCGATTTATTCCAACATAATCCGGCTGAGAAATTCAGTGTTCCTTAAATTGGTGAACACATGGTATATAAATACATATATATAACTAAGAAATAAAATCATAAAAAAAATGTTTACATAAGGTCTACTAATGTTATCACAATGGTAATGTAATCCATAACCATGCAATGACAATCATTCAAATGATTAAAAAAAATATTTGATTTTTGTAAGCAAAAACTAAATTCATGTGTTAACCACTTCATAGAACAATATTATATGTAGATTGAACCGTCTAAATTGGTAAAAACTCGACTCTAATATAAAAATAATAATATTGCTTATAACATTAAATACGGTAAGTAAAATACGAATCATATAAAATCTCTATACGTTTTGCAACGCAATATAATACACACAATATTACGGCAACACAGAAGAATACAAAGGGTAGCTCGAATGTCATAAAAATTGAACTCAGCATAAATTTACTTATGACTCGTATGACTTATTTTATTAGTAAACTATATATGACTATGATGTTTGTAAATAATTTAACATCAGCAAATATATATAATATTTAATAGGTACTGTTGAGATGTAGATAAATAAATTAGATTCAAATTTTCTGATGTATGCAATTTAACCCGCAAGTATATTATTTTTCTGAAGAAAAGTTTGCACAAGACATTTTGTGGTAATAACTGAAGGAAATTGTATTTATTTAATGCCACCAGATTAAACAAAGTTGTATTTGACGTGAACTAGAATATAATTATTGAGAGAAACCTAAATAGAATTAAATAAATATTTAACAAACTCTCAGCAAAATGCGTATGCAAACTTAAAATGAATTCGTCTTTTATAAAAGTACGTAAAAATATTGTTTCCATAACTAATCTAGGTCAAACTGCATTAATATCATACACTTTAGATAACACTACATAAATTTAAATAAAATATATGTRCAAGGATTGAATTAATACGATATGAAAGCTTGTACACAGTTCAATCATCAATAATAAAATTGAATAATCATATTTTTAAAGGGTTATTGAATGATATACCATATACTTATATGTTATATAAAATTTATTGATAATTATAGGAGAACACATAGGCATATAATTTTCGATTGAATATACAAATAAGCGTTGAAAAATATGTATCAATTTCGTTCAATGTATGTTATACATAGGTACTAATGCATTTAATTTGTTTACTGAGGAAAATTTAGAATATTCTAAAGTAACATTTTGTAAATTAAATAGTAAATACGAATATAAAATTATATAGAGATTCATATTTATTATTTCATAATGCATTTACTGTGGTCACTGGTCAGTTCACGGCCACACGTGATATTACAATATTATTTTCAACATAAAATTATTCGACTAAGACGTGTATATAAGCACAAATACATTTATCACTATTAGCTCTAAATAATAACAAAGCTTATACTATGGAGCAAAATAATTTTTTCTTTTTATTAAGGGGAAGCTGTGGCAATATAGGCCATTGGGTGTGGGGTGGTACGGAAGGGGTTATTTTTGTATATTTGTTCGTAGGTTTTTAAGTGGGTAGGGTTGTAACACGTGTTTGCGTATGTGTGGCAAGGTATATGGCAATATAAGGTATATGGTATGTTGCTAAAAATCCCAGGTGGTCACCCATCCGGGAGCTAGCAACTGCCGCCGGTACGTACACTCAATGCGTTTCCGCAGATTGAGCGTACGACCGCGCCTCACCAAGCCACATAATTTTATTTATTATTTAGTAAATATATATATATATATATATGTATGTGTGTATGTTTATATTATATTTATAAATGTATAAAAGTTTCGTTACTACACAATAATAATACACACATTTTAAATTAAAACGTACAAATTATATCATTAAAAATTATCAGAGTAAAAATTATTTAAATTTTAAATGAGCAAATTGAAAACTATTTGAAGCGTCTAAGAAAATATTATGCACATTAGATAATATTACCATGAATCACCTATAATATATAACGTTCATTTTGAATAATATCATTATATCACAAAAATAGTAAAATTCTAAAATCACTAAAACTTATTTGTCACGACGATTTAAACGTTACACATAAATTAAATAATAAATAAAACAAAAAAAGTTATAAATATTTGTGAGACATTGTTTTCATAAACGCGTGTGCTCCAAAAAAAGAATCCGCCTTTCTGTTTATGTTCGTGTGATTAAGGACGGGGGTGATTGGTATATAGTATCCATTCACCTTCGTAATGACACGTTGTCAAGAACTTCAGCAGATGTAGTGGTGTTTGAAACTGAAGAACTCGTAACGCCATCGAATTGCGATGAAATAGTAGCGAGATCGGACTTGTTCGACTCGTCTGACGAATGTTGTGACACGGCGGCGGTGGCTGCGGCCACAGAAGCGTCCATCGATGGTCCCGCCGAGTATGACGAGAAGAATGTCAATGCCTTCATCAGCTGATAACTCTTCGATATGGGAATGTTACTATCATACAACTTTTTGGACGACTTGCAGTCAACGTAGAACCACCAGTTGCACTTGAGTATGGTCTGGTCGAACAACGTCGACTCAGGGCACAGGAAACTTTTTTGGGTCAGACCGTCATCGGTGAACGCGCATACGTGGAACACCTATAACATAAAAACAATTATAATATCGTCTCGTTTACATTATTTATGAATATAATTACTATTGAATTATAGACTGAACCTATAAAAACATCATTATGAGTGATCATCATCTACTGTTTTATAGCATAGTAGGTATACAAGATGTCTATTTACAACACGTCTTATTTATATATTTATATCAATATGCAAATCCATTTGAATAAGTATATAGTTAAAATTAATACTTTGAATTTAAAACATTTATGTATTGAACTTTTGAGTAACCCAATGACAATTTTTAATTTTGATTTACCTACATTTTTTAACTATAACAATAATTACGCCATTAACATTAATGTAATATAAGTTGTGTACAATTTTATTTATTGGTACAAACGTTGTGAGGCACACTCCGATTATATATAATATAATTATTTAATAAATTGAAAAAATAAATAAATGTAAATTTATACACATTTATATTTGTATGCCTATATACTATACATATTAGGCAAGTTATGGCATCTAGCAAAATTCAATAATTATTTTGTAAAATAAAAGACAGTAATTTAAAAGGATATATATAGTGAAAGCCAAATAATAAGCAAACAATCATATTTGAATTTATTCATTTTAAATCTGTAATTACAAATTCAACCTTAACTTCACACAATTCATACATTTTAATTCCATATAATTGTATACAAAGAACTGTTGACTGGGTCACGAATTAGCTTAATATAAATTATAAATATTACCTAGTATTCGTTAGGACATATATGCACTCGCAACCCGTTTAAATCAAAGGATTCGATATGATTTATAAGGAAACTCAGAATACCTAGTAGAATAAGGAGTTGAACCATAGTCATTAGCACTTGAGCACTTTCACGCCACTCATATCAAAACTAATTGTATACTTTATAATTTTACATAAATTAATAGAAATAAACGATTATTTGTTCACTTTTAAAAATTATTTATCAAACATTATTTAAATCACTCACATTTTGATGCCAGTGATCCTCATATACAACAGTATTGATATAAATATAAGTTCAATTATTTTTTTTCATTTTTGTCGGCCATAACAATTGGAATATTTCACCTATTTTCCCATGACATTCAACTGTCGGTGCTATGATGAAAACTTTATTTACGACCTTGTGAAAAACTATACATTCGTATGGTTTTATCTCCTGTTATATTTTGTTGTCAAAAAATAATGTAAAACAAATCCGAGTTATGGTTTTCATATATTTGTTTAACCTTTCAAAATTCCCTTTAGATTTTCGTTTGAGCTATTTTATGCTTAGAATAATATATGCATAATATATTATACATTGATGTGTGCTTCAAATATAAACAAATATTTTGATAAATACGATCGTATCTCTACATACGTCAGATCAAACCAATAAATTTTGAATATTTACCAACCTCACCTATATGATTAAACTTGCAGATAAATAAATAAATTAAAATCTCAAACCGTCCATGCGATGGAT